GTGACTTTGGGCAAGTTCTTTAACCACTGTCTATAAACTCACTGGCTGACCTGTCACATTTGTACTGAGACTAGGATGGTTAACAAAGCCCAGACAAGCACTCCCTAAGTCCCTATCACTATTATTCCGACAGACCCTGCTTTCCTCTGGGAATACCCACCTTGGCCACCTCTAAGGCCGGCAGAATTTCCATGAAGAAAATTCTGTTTCATCTACTTGGGACAGGATGTGATCTGACACCCCACTTGTTTCTAGAGTCTCTGATATCATATAGCCTAGTTATGGCACTATCACTTTTTCCATAATTATTTCTCAATGTTTACCTGAGAAAATTGGGAACACATACGCTTTTAAGTCTCCCTTAGTCCACTGCCCCAAAATAACCTGTGGTAGAAGCCATTGGTTGTCCCCTCAATCCACCCTGTCCTTTCACAGAACTAGAGCAGCAGGCAGGCAGAGCTGCTGACACTCCCAGTCTCACTGGTGGTCTGGTGGGGCCGTGTGACTAAGTTTTTGCCAGTGGAATATACTGAGAAGTGAGGTGCACCACTTACAGGCTGAGCCCACAAAACGTCCCAGGCTGCATGACTATTCCATTCTGTGGGACAGGTGCAGACGAGAGGCCCTGGAGATGGTGGCCCACCGAGGGACTGTGGTGGTGGTATCCACTGCCCACCTCTACCCACCTTAGAACTGCTACATTACCAAGAAACACCTTTCCGTCTTAACTACCAAAATGTGATCAGGTGGTGACCACAGCCGAGGTGAAGCTAAACACTAACCACGGTGCCACTGTGAGGCCTTCCACTCACNCATGACTATCCCATTCTGTGGGACAGGTGCAGACGAGAGGCCCTGGAGATGGTGGCCCACCGAGGGACTGTGGTGGTGGTATCCACTGCCCACCTCTACCCACCTTAGAACTGCTACATTACCAAGAAACACCTTTCCGTCTTAACTACCAAAATGTGATCAGGTGGTGACCACAGCCGAGGTGAAGCTAAACACTAACCACGGTGCCACTGTGAGGCCTTCCACTCACTGATATGACTTTGTATCATATTTCCACAATAAGTATTTTTCTGTATATTTTTCTGTATATTCTTCATAACAATTTAATGGTTGGAGACTATTCATAAAGTAGCTAATTAAATCATGACAATGAACATCTTTGTGAAGAAGCCTTACTCTGTATGTTGAATCACTTTTGGAAACATCAGAATTGGCATTATTCACAGGTTATAAACACATGGTTGGACATCTTTTCACAAAGACTGAGTCGATTACATTACCATCATGAATGTACTCATGTCATCGACTTTCAAAGCAAAAGGGTTTTATAAACATATAATGGTATAAACTTAGGTCAATTTGAGTTTTTAAAATTTCCCTATCTTGTATTTTGCATTTCTCTGATCACTACTGAGGTTGAACACTTTTCCATGCCTGCTTTTCCCTGTGGATGAAACAGGGGCCACATGCTAAACCCGACAAGCTCTGGGGAGGCCTGCGTGGCGACCTTGCAAATTCGGACCTAAAGTAACCACACAGAATGGTCTGAAATTAAAACTTTCCAACTAAAAGCAGCTCATAGTGGGTAGTCACGACAAAGGTCAATCTTTACCTTCACTAAGCCTGTTGTCTTTATTTTTGCATCTACATATCTGGTAACATACTTTTGGAATTTCAAAGTAACTTCCTTCTTTCTGGACCCCCCAAAGCACAACCAACATACCAGAGCAGAAACCACAAATCCCCTCACTGTCATTATCATGTTAATTGTTAACTGTTAACTATCCCGTACCCACCTATGTAAAAGAAGTGTGTCTATCATTTTACTTTTTATCCAACCTCAGATTTCCCTGCTTTGCTTTCTCCCACCTCCGTAATCTATCACCAGTGGATTTCATGTAACTCCCTTATGCCCCCTCCTTTGATTGTAATGTACAAAATAAGTGGCAAAACTGACATTTTCCAGAGCATTTTCTCCATCCTGTTGAGCCTTTGCATCCTGGCAACTGTAATCAGTTTGGCTCAAATAAACTCTCAAATTCTCACCGGTTTGGACATTTCTGACATTGACAGTTGTACCTCCTCTTGTAAAAACTTTATGTCCTGCCATCAACTGAAGTCTAGATTTTCTGTAGATTTACACAATCTAGCACTAATAGATATTATCAAGAGTCAATCACCCAAAACTTCAGAAAGCAATTTATTAAAAGTCAGAACAAATATTAAGGCACAAAATACATCAATTTTTTCAAACAAAAATCTTTGAAATAGTTTTGTCTTACATTCAAAGCAACTTTTTCCAAAATTATGCAATAACTTAACCTCTTTAAATAGAAAAATATAACTTCTTAAGCCCCTACACTTTCTCCCCAAATACACGTTTTCCTAGTTCTAAAGGAAGCTTCTTAGTGTATAAGCTCCTGTACTGTATGAACACTTCCTCGAAAGTCTCGCTGGGCACTGTATACAGTTGGTATGTGCAGGGCCTTAATGATCAGTGGAAGGCCTGGATTTCGTACTGCTTATCGCACGCGGTGCACCAAGCAGACTCAAGTGCCCAAACCAGGGACACATAAATCTCGCACACCTCAGCTTTAGGCCAGGCATGTGCAGCCTAGCACAACAGACTCAAACGCCTTTTTAAAAAAAAAAAAAAAGATATAAAAATCACCTTATATGTACATTTTTTATACTTTCAGTCTTGCCATTCTAGTAGTGCAAACATAATATACCAGATTATAGGGGGAAAGTCGACATTCTCTACAGGACCTGAAAGATTTAAAAAATTATTCTCTTTACAGGAAAAGTATGGAGACATCTTATCTCTCAGCTTTAAAAATTTACATATTCATCTGTTTTTTCTTATTTTTGAAATAAACTTAACTATCCTTTAAAACAGAAACTAATACTAACTCAAATCATGAAAATTCCCCTTTAATCAAATTTCACACAGTAGATAAATCTAACATGAATTGCAAAATGCTCTTTTAAGCATTTTGCCTAGAAAATCATAAAGCTGGACTCTTATCCTCAGATCCCTTCATTAATAGGAAGACCCATCTTGATGGCATCCTAAGAAATTAATCTGACCTTGATGACCAGTTTCTGGAACCTTCATGCAGAAGTTGGATGACAGCTGCACAGTGGCCCTGGGTGTTACTTCTCCCCAGGTCCCCCATGTGACTACACTCAGCCCTAGGGCGCCCCCACCTGTTCATATGAAGGGGCTCAGCTCAGGAGACCCTCCACAGGAATCCTCTATTCGGGACACAAAGTGTTAACAGAGGACACAATGATTACTGTCAGCAACAGACACAGTGCATGCCTTTGCAAAACAGTATTTCTGACAGGCCACTAGGAGGAACCCGTATTTCTCTGGATGACCAGGGAAGCCCGCATTTCAGCCTGCAGCGCCACCCAGGGTCCAGCATTTCTTTTCCCAGCTGCAGAAAGCAAGGTTTTTTATAAACACTATTGAGGTTCCGTCAGAGGCAGTTTCCTCTCTCACATTGACCATCGGTCGCCACTCCCACCCCACTAGCTCCTACTAGCTGGACGCCCAGGATTCTACATTCAAAATTCAGCTACAGCCATATGAGTTGGGGGTGAACCTGCCTTGAAATCTGGGCAGTGGCATTAGATAAAAATTTTAGGAACAAGGGGACAGAGGTCACCTATGGGTCTGAAACAACTTGGGCTGAGGGTGAAATAACACCCAAACCAGAAAGGGACATGAATGCTGGGACATGTACAGGGTGGGAGGTCAGGACTGTGGCAGACACCGAGGGGAATGGTGTCCACACGGTGAAATCGGACACTCTCCTAGGAAGGATGTCCCAAAGTGATGGCATCTTGACCACCACGTCCTGGTCAGTACAACACTGTTTGGTATTCACTACTGAAAACAAATTTGAAAGCATCTTTCAAGAGACACTGTTACTGGAAATGAATCTTTTTTTACTAGCCCCTGTGAAACAGGAAATGAGAAGTAAATTCCAAAGAAAAAATTTTGAAAGAAAAATTTTGTTTTGTGGCTTCATAATGAAAAAAAATGAAAGGTTATAATTTAGTGTTTGTGTGGTGAAGACTGTAATGTTTCTCAATTAAAATTCTCTGGAGTGATTCCTCACCCACAAGGTTAGAACTCTTTGAGAAAAAGATGCGCGATTCTAACTTTAATTCCTGCTCTAAGTGTCCACCAGCCCTGGTGCTGGTCATGAAAGCAGCAACATCCACATTTCCATCTCACCACCTCCAATGACTTTCACGTTTACAATGTTCTGCATTAAAAAAATTAAAACAAAAAATGTCAAATCACACATAATGTATAAAACAAGGTTGACGGTTAAGAAATTACAAGATTAACAGTGATGCACTGTACCGGTAAGTACTATGGCGAGATTACATACTAGGTAAGGTTCTAGCTTCCTCCAGGGTCACCCAGCTGGCATAGCCCGGTGTCCACCACCTGCCCCAGGTAGGTTCAGCAGTGACACATGCAAATACAGTCTGAGTGAGGGGACAGTGGCAGAGCAAATCTTTGGAAGTGACCCTCAAGACTTTGCTCTCCATGTACTTCTTGCATCCACTGAGCTCAGAGAATGAAGATGTCCATCATTTGATGTGCTCGCTGATGACAATCAGGGCTTGTGCAAACGTGTGCAGCCTCACACAAACAGCACCTAGCCCCATAAATATCCGATGTTCCAACGGTAACCAAGTTCTACTTGTTATCAAGTCACTTCAGTATAAAAGTGAAAGGAAATTACTATCGCATCTACTGATTACAAACCCAAGAGATGGAGACAGTGTTTGACCATGCTTCCTTTACCTCAAAGCCAGTGGAAGAACTGTAGGACTGTTTATGTAAAAATCATGTTTAAATCTAGAATTGCCATATTTTCCAGAAAAAAGAGGCAACCCAATCCACACATCTGCCACCCATCAGCTCAGGGCATTTGGGCATCTATTTTATCAAAATACTTTTCTCAGATTATTTCCAAGTATTTAATGGACATTAAACTGACATTCAAGAGCCAGCTTAAAAAGGGTACAAACCCCTCCACCCACTGAATTCTTAATCTGAGTACACAGATTTCCAAGACAATGCAATAAAAACTTGTTGCCGTGACCTCTTACAGTCCCAGGGAGTCCTTTACCGTTAAGTAGGTTTCACATTATCTTTTCTGAAGAGAACATTTTTTCTGCCATTTCAGATCTGGTCATAATTTCCTAAAAAAAAAAAAAAGTTTTTTTCATCAAAATGTTGATGCTTCTTCCAGAACTTAACAAAATCCTCTAATCTTTCAATAGTTATGGTTTTAGTGGGGAACTGAATATATTCCACAATATACAAAGAAGTATTAGATACAGAAAATAAAACCAAATAACCCATCCTTTCCGGTATACGTCTAGTCAATCACCTGCTGAGAAGTGCAGGAAACGCTAACATCCTGCTAGCCAAAACGCATCCTGAGCTCAGTCACCAGCGAGAGGCAGGGACCGTTCATCTGAGGATTGGCCTCACTTTACCAATTAATGTACTTTTGAATTAGAAATCAATGATTTATCAAATGAGTACTATAAATGCTCTTTTAAGAGTAATTCCATGGTAGAGTTATAAATCCTGAAGTTCGGCTGTTTCGCATCTGGGTACATGTACACTGCAGCCTCTCAAAACTCCCCATCCCACGACAGTCAGTGACCAGGCTGATGCCAAAGTCACCGGCCCTGCCTCTCAGTGAACAGGCTGCAGCGTCCCTCTTTCTACAGCCACCACACAGGTCACTCCTCAGCACCACTGACTGCCCGACTCCTTTTCACATGAGTTAATGTCCCCGAATCCCCCCTTTAATTCTTACACTTCACACTCCTGCCTGTCTCGGGCCACCTTCCAAGATCCTGATGACCCATAATTATTTTCCCTCAAAAAAACCTTCCTGAATCCGCATCTTTTATTCAAATTTCCTTAGTAAGTGAAAATCAGTTAGAAATTATTTAACACCCCAGCACAATATCTACAAGCATGAGATTAATTTAGACAAGCTGCCACCTTCTACGCTCTACCTATAAATGAGATGTAGAAGAAAACCAAAGACTCAAAATCTCATAAAACAGTTGTCTTCTTTCACACCAACAAGCGTTTATCTTGCTCCTGCTTTAAAGGAGGATCTAGTTCCTTTAAACGTCACCCACAAATCAATGCAGTCTTTCAGCCTGCTCAATCTGCAATCATTTAAACAAGTACCTTTCAGCTGAAATGCATTTCTACTTTGTGAAAATAATAGCCCCAAGGAAGTTATCAAAAATATATCTTACCTCATCAGAATCTACCAACACTGGAAGAGCTCTGAAATGAAAGGAAAAAAGTTGGCAATGTAATTAAAATGCCGGTGTGTCTACTAAAACTGAATCTGAGCACACCCTAGGCCTCACCAATTCTTCTCCTGGACAGACACAGCCAGAGATGAGCACCTGGGCTCACCAACACATGCGGAGAATTCTTACAGCACTGATGTTCCTAATACCCCCAAATGGGTAAACTGGTATATTCATGCAATGGAATACTATACAGCCCCAAACGGTATAACCTAATGAGGGATAAAACTTTCAGAACTGATACAAGTAACCTGCAGGTACAGATGTCAGGATGGCAGCACCTTTGAGAAAGGAGGTCATGATCTGGGAGGAGCACCAGGAGTTCTTAGGGTGGGCGATGTTCTTTTTGATCTGGGTGCTGGTTACATGAGTGTGCTCATATTAAAACTTTACTGAGCTATACATTTATTTAGAATTTGTACACGGTCAAGAATGTGTGCTGTATCCCCAAAAACTCCAGTAAAAAATTAAATGAAATATGAAAATAATTCTAACTNGAATAACTTCAAAATGGAAACAACAAGAACAGAAACAAAGCGAGACCAGCAATNATTCTAACTTCAAAATGGAAACAACAAGAACAGAAACAAAGCGAGACCAGCAATGATAGAGGCTACTGTGTTGGAGTAAAAATCAGTGACTAAACCATACAGCAAGGGATTCCAAACACACTGACTCCAGCCCCATCTGTATTTCCTAACCCTACTATTTCTCACTTTGGCTAGATGGACAAGTATCTGAGTGGCAATGTGCTAATTTGAAAACTCACATCCTTCTGTGAGAACTTAGGAATGAACAAGCTAGACTTAGTCATTTCACTATGTACATATATATCAAATCATCATGCTGTACACCTTATATGTACACAATTTTTATTAAAATATACACATATTTTAAAAAAGAGGGATGTGCAAAGATTATGAAAGGTGTTGTTTATGGAATCAGGCATTTGTTTAATTCCCATGTCTTTATCATCATTGACTGAGTGTAAACCAACAGAGTGTACTGGAGAAAGGAAAAATTATATAACATAACCTTTGCTTGGGAAAGATAATATGATAAAAAGACAAGTGTAGCCTCAATGTGTGAGAGAGCTTTAAGGGAGCACCTAAAGGCACGACTGTGCCAGGTCACAACACAAAAGTCCCATGCGCACGCACGCCAAGCCTAGGAATGCTACCTACAGGGCAGTCCCTGGTGACGGCAGAAGAAAAAGACTGGGAAACTCATCGGCGTGAGAAAGGAGCTTGTCTGGTGCAAAAACACTAAGGAAAATCCAAGGGAGAAGATGGCTTCTGGGGAAACATGAGCCAGAAGCCAAGAGGCTGAGGACAGTCATGGGTGCCTAGCACCTTTGTTCACAAGCAAATGCTAGCTACCTCAAAAAGGGGCCCGTTAGGTAGGCAACTGTTTACAGCTTATTAAGATGTATTCAGTGCAGTGAAGAGGAAGGGGAGCTATGCTAAGCCGGCCTCAGGCTAATCAGATAGGAAAAGCCATATGAATGTGAATACACGTGAACGTCTCCTAAAGTACCGGATCATAGGGCTATTCATCATCTACTTAAACTGTCCCATGACTTAGATGATTTCTTTCATTCTTACAGATGTATAAAAAAGGGTTTCTCTGTGTATGATGTCTAACTTCCCCACATGCTCTGTAAATTGTACACTAATTTTGGGGAGCACTGTGCTAAATTTGTGTTCGTTTTCAGAAGTGGACATACATAGCTTCCCAAGAATTGAAAATGCTAGAAACTAATTTGGATTATACAGCTCTACTCATTTCACATAAATCGTTCGTGAGAACACAGGAGATATTTCAGTCCTTTACAGCGTAAAGGAATTTTTGTAATTAAGCAGGCATTTTTATTTACAGGAAGAAGGAATAGAGTGATGACTTCCTAAGATGACGAAAACTGCCAGGAGCCCCACTGCTTTGAAAGTGGGGAGTCTGCTGAGATGATTTCCTTTTAAAGTACTTAAAGTATTTAGTTCCTTTTAAAGCCAAATCTGGAAGGTAACAGTTGCCATCTAATCTGAACCTCTCCACACACTTTTGCTCAAAAAAACATGAGATCCCTACAGACTGCAAACAAAACCACACACAACCTGTGGTCTTTGGTATTTCCAGAAGAACACTGCAAACCTGAAATTATATGTAACCAGAGAGAAATATGCCAGTTCCGAAAAAATTCCTGCTGTCACTGCAAGCTCAGGAGCACACGTAGGGAATGAGAAGTCTGAGGAATTGTGTGAAGAGTAAAGAGGAGGGAGGGCTCAGCCAGAGCAAAGACAAAACAACCTCTGCAAAAAATCCAACACTAAGCACCAAACACTGAGAAAAGGCTGGTGACCTGGTGGTTCACAGCACCTGCTCCAGGAAGGGCTTAAAGTGAGCAGAACCAAAGGTAGTGGCTGCACAGTCATGGTTTTCAGGGGAGCATGAGACACACAGAGGAGCGGTATCCCCTGGAGACATGACAGCACAGTGAATAAAAAGGAAGGAAGGAAGAAAGCAAAACTAAAGATCCTGTAGAAATAAAAAAAAGACAACACTAACCTCCCTCTCTCCACACTACCAATATTATTCATAAATGAAACTATAATTCAGGCAAATTGATAGGTGAAAGCACTCAAACCAGGCACTCTCACCACAAAATGCCTAGGAGTAGGAAAAACAAATAAAACCAGTTCCAGATAATGGTGTAGGAAGAAAAAACAAAAAGAAAAATCAAAAACATTTCACAGGAGAATAGAGCTATAGCTACAACACAACTCTCCAATTAAATAAGATGAGTTAAAGAGAGCACTTGGTGATATTAAAAACAATAATAAATTTTTTAAAAACAATAATTAAAGTTTCTACAATAAGAAATTATAAACCAAGAACAAAAATGGATTAAAAACAAAAGAGGAAGAAAATAAAAAATCAATCAAACTCAGAAAAAAAATTTTTTTTAAATCATCCCTATAATGAAGAAAATAATTGCAAATGTCTAAAGGAGAATAAATTTAAATAAAAATTTAATCTGTGGCAACAACACAGCTAAGAGAATGAAAATGACGTAAAGAAAGATGTAAAAAGGATCACAGAGTAACTGGTAAAAATGGAAGACAGCAGGTAAAGGTGGAGAGAAAAGGTCAGATGATTCCTCCCACAAAAACGTATGTAAACCTGGACAAAATTATTAAAAAATAAATAGTTGAACCCTGGCTGGGTGGCTCAGTTGGTTGGAGCACCATCCTGTACACCAGAGGGTGGCAGGTTCGATTCCCAGTCAGGGCACATACCTAGGTTGCAGGTTTGATCCTTGGTAGGGGCACATATGAGAGACAACCAATTGATTTCTCTGTCTCTGTCTCTATCTGTCTCTCTCTCTCCCTCCCTCCCTCTCTAGAAATCAATTGAAACATATCCTTGGGTGAGGATTAAAAAAAAAAGTAGTTGAAGGCACTGCCAGTGGGGATATGGATACAAGTGGCTCAACAAATTCCAAGGAGAATATGCAAAAAGAAAACCACACCAAAGCACATCACACAGATACTGCAGAAAGCCAAATATAAAGAAAAACTCTGAAAAGCAGTAAAATGACACATTACACACATGAGAACAAGAATACAAGACTGACGTCTCCACAAAAACAAAAGAAACAGAAGGTGCTGGAAGGACATGCTGCAAGTGCTCAAACAAAAGTCAACCAAGATTTTTATATCTTTCAAGAAACTATCTTTCAAGAAAGGAGGCAAACAAATACATTTTTATATACATAAAACTGAAAAAATTTGTTTCTAGCAGAGCTATAGTATAAGAAATACTAAAGAAAGACCTACAGTACATGGTGATAACTCAGATATAGAGGAAGGAAAGAAGTACTAGTAAATGCATGGGCAAATATAAAAGAATATATATACACCTACTCTCCTTTTCTGACTATTAAAAGAAAAAATATAATAGTCCCCACTTTGCATAAATCTTATGTGTGTGAATTTCAGTTACTACAGTTTTGTTAAGTAACACCAGTGCCTTAACAGGACAGTTCAAATTTCAGTTACTAAAAAGTACAAGATACTACTTCATAACAGCTAAGAGAGCTAAAACCAAAAAGTTGAGCAATAACAAGTGTTGACATGGATGTGGAGAAACTGAAAGCCTCATACTTTACTAAAGAACTAAAAATGGTTCAGCTGCTTGGAAAACGAGCTGGTACTTCCCCAAAATGTTAAACGTATAATTACCATGTGATCTAGCAATTCCATTTCTAGGTATATACCCAAGAGAAATGAAAATATATGGCCACACACAGGCCTAGAATCATCATGTTCATAGTGATGAAAACCAAAGATAAGGGAGAAAATCCTGAAGGCAGCCAAAAACCAAACAACAAAAACCCTACAAATAAAACCAAGTAACATATGGGAAAAAAAAGAACTAAACCAGACCAACTTCTTTCTGAAACTATGAAAGCTGGAAGACATCGAGTAACAATCTTTGAAGCGTTAAACAAAAAACTAAGAATTCTATACCTAGCAAATCACCTTTCAAAAAAGCTAAGAAAAAAAAAGACTTTTTCAGACAAATAAAACCGGAGAGATCATGGCCAGGATACCTGCACTACCATAAAGGGAATTCTTCAGGCAACTAAAGTATCATACTACACAGGAACTGTCTAAATAGGAAGCAAATGGGAGCACGGAAAGGCAGGAACCGTATGTGAAAACGTTACCATATCTGGCTATCCTGACTGCTTTCCACTGTGGAAATGGCTCTGGAATTCTAGTGTCAAACAGAACACTGATAAAGAAGATGCTGAATAGCTCCAAGTTTCCAGAAGGGCTTCCTCTGCACCCTATTTTTCCTATGCTCACATTTTTCCTCTGAAAGCTTCCTCACCATACATGATAATGTGGTTACATGTGTTAAAGAAAAGTTTTACATGTGTTTGAACTTCTCCATAATAAAAAATTAAAACAAAATAAAATTATTCTGATCCTATAAACTTAGATCAGAAAAGCCTGGAGTTGGTAATAAGGCACAAGTATTAAAATAGTTGTACAGTGAAAAAGGGAGGAGAAACAGAGAACAAGGCAAGGCTGTGTTCTTTGCAATTCAACGTGAAGTAAACCAGTCATTCACTAGTGAAGGGGGCTATAAAAACATGGAGGTGTGAGGTCTGAAAAGCACAACACAAAGTGTGAACTTTCCCTTCACATTTGAGCCTAAATTTAGATTCAAGCCCCAACAGGATACTTACACATCTGTGAATGAAGAGGGAATATTTTCTTCCACCCACTTCAAATCTTCATCCTGTAGAAATAAAAATTTACATATTAATATTTACTTAATATTACTTGAGAGCAGAATTTTTAAATAGAATGTCTGTAAAATTTAAACATTTAAATTAAAATGCATGACATTCTTTCAGTTTCTACATATCTTAAGAAGTTGGCACTAATGCCATAAAAAAATTACGCCAGTATTTTCTTAAACAGGCAAATAAAAATTTGGATTTTTAATTTTGTATACTTGGTATTATTTTTTGTCCTGAAGAAAAAAAACACATAAAAATCAAAGAGTTGACTTATACAAAAGAAAATAACAAGAATATTGATTTGTATAGATTTTTGCTCCCAGCATTCATTATGCCTCCTAATTTGTTCAAGTTTTTATATCATGAGTTTTTAATTTTTCAACAGAAAGAGAGGATGGTACAAATATTCTAACTTTACAAAAGCCTATTTATCTCTATCACTTGTATTTATGCTCTCCTCTCTACAGATAAGGAAAGCAGGTCATTTAGGGTATCTAATTTTTTTAAACAAAAACTTCCTTATAGTTCTCTCACTGAGAGAAAGAAAAAGCAAAGGTATAATGAGTATTTTGGTTTATAACGTACAATAAGTCAAAATGTTTCTTTGTGATCTACCTAGATACATGGAATACTCTGGTTCTAGTATTAATTACATGAAATATTCTGGTTCTAGTATTAATAATATCTTGCTTTCTTAGAGAGAGAGAAAGAGAGAGACAAAGCAACTGAGCCAGTATTAATAGGAACCTCAAATCTCTGAGTCTCAAATAGAAATAAATCAATGAGGTTATTTGATCAAGAGCTGACTACAGTTGACTTAAAGAAATGAAAAGCTTTCCACTGATGTATTTGCAAATACTGAGCTTTAAAATAAATTGAGATATATTCCTAAAATAAGAGGAAAATACCTTAACATGTTGAAAGTTTAAAAGCTGTAACACCAGATAATTAAAACTGTTGTAATTTTTTAAAGTTTATTTAAATTATCATAAAACTACTCAAAGAATGCATTATAATTACTAATTACCAAAAATAAAACTTAGGAAATTTAGTAAATCCAGGAAATAAAATTGTTCTCATATATTATCTGTCCTGTCAGATCTTACATGCATACATGAATTTTTACACCGTATTAATCTAACATTTTCAACTGTAAGAAAGCCATATAAAACTGTAAGATAGCCCTGGCCAGGTGGCTCGGTTGGCTGGAGCATCGCCCCGTGCACCCAAAGGTTGTGGGTTTGATTCCCGGTCAGGGCACACACCTACATTGCAGGTTCAATCCCCAGTAAGGGCCAGTACAGGAGGCAACTGATCGATGTTTCTCTCTCCCTCCCTCTCTCTCCCCCCTTCCTCTCTAAAATCAATAAAAACATATCCTTAGATGAGAATAAAAAACAAACAAAAAAACAGTATGATAGGCATTTCCATTTTGCTTAATTACTTTCATAATTACCACTTTTATGCATAAATAATACTCATGAAATACTTTAAAACTCAACGCTGCCCTATATTTTACCATTTTATTCAAGCTTTCACAGTTTTGAAAAAAATGATAATTTTGTTCACTGCATAGGTAAGTAATATAGACAGTAAAAGTCCCTTCCCAACAGATAACAAATGTTATAGAAATGTCTTCAAAATTACTTTCAAATGCTGAAAAATTAATACAAGCTTTTACTCTAACAAAGCTTCTCCACCTTTAATGTGCAGGGGAATCACCTATGGAACCCTGTTAGAAAGCAGATTCAGACTGAGCAGGTCTGGGGTAGCTGAGTCTGCGCTGCCAACAAGGTCCTGGGTGACGCTCTTGCTATTGCTGGGCAGAGAAGAGCACAGGAGAAGCAGGATCTACGGCAGTTATGGTTACAGGCTTAACCAGTATTGCTGCTGCTTGCTAACATTTTTCATACACAAAATCTTAGTAAAAAATGTTACCCTGATGGTCAATAAATGTGACACTCGTATAAATTTCTAAAGTATTAAAGACCGAGACTGTTAAACATGATAGTTACTCACAAAATTATCAGAAGTAGATGGTTTAGCTGTTCCATTGGAAACTGTTTTTGAGGTTCTTAATTTTATTCCTTCAGCTATAATGAGAAGCACAATAAATATATAAAATTATAAAATATTTTCCTTCGTAGCCTAATACTTAATAACCCAACAAGGAATAATATTACATATGTTTTTTTAAAGAATAGTAGTATTTCTATTTGGTTCCTCCTCCTCTTTTTAAGTTTTCATCTCTCCTGAAATTTACCTTGTCTTCACCAATCTGTTCCTGTAGATTCTTGAATACATTTGTAATAATTATTTTTAAAGTCTTTCTTGCTAAGTGTAATATCTGTGGCACCTCCAGATCTCTACTGACTAACTGTTCCATTAACTACGGGTCACAGTTTCCAGTTTCATAGCATGTCTAGTAATTTATCATTGCACACTGGACGCTCACAAAGGATCACACAGACTCCGGGTTCTCTCATCTTCCTCTGGGAAGACTGCGCTGTATTCTATTCAAATTACTCATTAGAGTATTACGGTAAAATTAATGAAATAAAAAAATGCTATGTAGAAGCTAATAGAAAGATGAAATTAGCACTAATACCATAACCAGAAGTGCTTCGGGCATGATCAAGAAATTACAGATGTGCCTAATTTTAAAGAGCAAGAAGAGGTGACTCAAAGAAATTGAGTAATCACCAAGAAGACGAATATATACAAGATCATTCTTGTGAAAAGCAGTGTACCTACCTCACTACTTAGAGCAAACCAGTAGCAAAAGCTCAAACTACATTAATAATCTTGAAAATTTCATTACTGACTCCTTATTCCTATCTAGCATAATACAGGTTTCTACAGAAATAGTTTTAAATATATTTAATGTATCTGACCTTGCAACACAGGTAAAGGTACATTACTTGTTACAATATATACAATGGTCATTCAGTAAGAAAACCTCTCACTCACTTAAATTTTCAGATGTTACCATGAATTCTTCAACTTCATCATCAGAATCATCTATTAAGGGCATGAAGGCATACCTATGTTAAAAACAACAAGTTTTACTAGTGTGTTTAAGCCTGTTCAATTTTCAACTTATAGCTACAAGAGTCACTGCAGCCAAAAATATCTACAATTTTAAATTTCTCATAAATGAAAATAAAATTTTAATTATTTTAGTCTCAAATTAGAAAGGTTATTATTCTGAAGAAATTGTAAACATGAGCCCCCCAGCCCTGTTGGTAAGAGCAGAAACGAGTGAGATCTATCTGGAGAGTTCTGTGACATGTCATGTTCAGGGAGGGGACTGTCTGCTGTGCTCTTCTCCATGCCAGGTCTCCCTCCCTGCCCACACCTTTTAATTCATGCCCTAACAGAAGAGGAACTGCTAATCTGAGTGGTGAAAATAAAGCAAAGGACTGAGCCAACAGCATTCAGAAAGCACTGCTGATAACGGCAAAAACAGGCAAAAACAAAGCATCTGATGTGCAGGGACTGCTTACAGAAACCACGCTACATTCATAGCACGGAATGCCATATAGCCATTACAAGTAACATGGCAGAGCTACACCAGATGATGCGGATACGTTTTAACAAGAAGGTGCAGAACAGTGTGTACATGAATATATGTATTATTATCATTGCATAATTTTAAAAAGAAACACTTTTTCCTCACAGTGCCTTTCTTGGGGAAGGGGAATGAGGCCAGGGAAGGTGGGGCTCCCCATCACATGTGGTCTAAAGCACAACCTTCTGAACTTAGCATTCAAGCTCTTTACCTCCCTCCAGTGTAAGCAGTATGAGCCAAACTGCATGCCTCAATGTCCTCCAAAGCATACTGGTTTCCCCACTACCCCAGAAATGTACACTCTTTCCCAGCTCAGTCTTTCACTGCCCTGCTCCTTTCCTTAAGGAAAACAGAAATGCTGCCTTTCGGAGTCTTCCTCACCGCCCTTCATCAGCCCTGGACTCACCTGACATGCCTCTGATTTCACTGTCTTGCATCTATGATGTGTCTCCCCCCCGACAGTATACTCCTGACAAGCATGGACTACTTCCCCACAGTTTACAGACGTGTTGTCAACACAGTACAGGTGATCAACAAATGCTTGCCAAACTTGGATTTTCCTCTGTTAGATACCTTTGATTATTTGCTGATGGTCTCCACAAAAACATTATTACCATAAGGATAAGTGAAAAAAGGAAGCTCCAAAACGCTTCATCAACCCAGCTTTCCATCCAATCCTAAAACAAGGACAATTCAAACATGAAAAGTTAACTTTCTGATAAACATAAACATGTAGATTTCCGACTGAAATAGTGTGCAATGACAAGTCCTAATGAAACCTTTCCAACCAGTTAAGTCTTCCAGATAAATAAGTACAAATTTTTTCAAAAATATAAAACTAAGAAACACTATCTTTATAAAATCAACATTAATGCTTTCAGCCTTATAGCCAATCAGATGAATAAAATCCTAACATAAATTATATTGTATCATGTCATAAAAAGAATTAGTTTAAAGGCACTTCAGAGATAATTTAATGTATTTTCTATATGAGAGCAGGCATGAGGCAGATTAATAGCAAAATTAGAATCAAGTTGACAATGGCTACAGTAGTCCCCTCTTATCTGTGGTTTTGCTTTCTGTGGTTTTCATTACCCATGGTCAACTGCAGTCCTAAAATATTTAAATGGCAAAGTCCAGAAATAATTCAAAATAAGTTCAGAGAAACAGTGAGATGACATTCACATAACTTTTATTACCATATACTGTAATATTGTTCTATTTTATTATTAGTTATTTGTTAATCTCTTAATGTGCCTAACTTATAAATTAAACTTTATCACAGGTATATATGTATAGGAGAAAACACAGCACACTGTATATAAAGGGTTTGGTACTCTCCACGGTTTTCAGGCATCCACTGGGGGTCTTGGAACGTATCCCTCACGGATAAGGGGGGGCGGCTGTAGTTTTGACAATAGAATCTCTGATGCAAAAACCTCAATACAGTATTTCTCCCAATAGGTTGTTCTGCTTTTACTGAGACAGGTCTTATCTATGTTGTTTGAAACATTTCTAAAGGGCTGTTTAACATTATAAACATTCTCTTCCATAAAATTTTTGGGTTAGCAAAAAGATTTAGAAAACAAAAATCAAAATCAAAAGATATCCTTAGAACTCCAAATGAAAAATACTTAGGTGAGGGAAGGAGAGAAAAGAAATTCTAGAAAGTCAGTCTCCTATCTCATTAACTCATCCCCAAGGCAGATGTCCAGGAGGACTGTTAGAGAGCTGTTTGTAACTGTTCATACAGAACTAGAGACAAGCTCCTAATCAAAATGCCCCCAGAAGAGGGTCTTTTAGTGTTTTAGTCTAAGAAATGTATCTTCTAACTTGAGAACTCACGGTGAGCATCTCCCTAGTGTTCATAATGGGTGTGCCGCCCTAGAAACACATCAGACTTAAGGGTTACAATCCCATTAGATCCCAAACAGCCCAAGTTCATGGCATACAGGAAGAAAAGAATTTCCTGTTATCTAAATTGTACAGGAGAGAATTATCTTTCAAAATCTATGAAAGGAAGCTGAGAAAAAGCATAACTGGAAAAGTAGATGTAGGAGAAACTTTTTCAGATTCACTGGAGGCCAAAGTTTTTATAATTCTATATAAAATAATTCAAAGTCAAAAGAAAATCTCCACTACAAGTATCTCGATTTACAAAGACAAACTAAATTATTCAAAATTACACAAAATGAAATAGTATAATTAAAAACAAACTATTTAGATTATACTTACTGATCGACATTTTGCAAATCTAAATGTTATAGTTGTCCACACCATAAACACGACAGACGCTGAAACACACCAAAAAAGTCAGCTTTGAAGGAAATGTGGCCCTGAAACAATTTACTATAATAAGAAAAGTTCATTACTTACCCAGCACAGCAAAGATCAGAGTATTTGTAAAGTGCCTATATAAAGAAAATTTCACCGTGTTCTTTCTTAGCCTCAGAGTCTTCATAGTTTGTGCCAAACTTATAAAAATGTGAAAAAGTTAAGGAAAAACATTTTAAATAATAATCAAGTTAAAATCAAAATCAAAATAAGAATCTTTCCCATTTCCAAAACTGGTCCTGCTGAATATAGTTGTATTAACTACAGGTAATAAAAACACAGAAAATGTAATTTTAGCCAGAGCTATATAATCATGATACTGACGTTTTGCTTTATAATCTTTGAGTAAATAAACTTGGAGGAAAACACACAAGCAAGAAGCTCCAGGACGCCCTTCTTACTGCCGAGCTCCCAGGCCCCAGGCCAGAGCAGCACACGGCCCGCCAGCCTCCCAGGCCAGACACTCTGCAGGTCCCACTGGGATTTCCCACTTGGCTTGTGCTTTTCTTTCTCTCCCCTCC